TAAAAAGGCATTTCCGATCAAAGAAGCTCATTTCTTGTCCTCCAACGAAGAGGATTGTATGAAGAGTGGGCAATGGCTGTGCAGGATATGAATCCTTTTAATGCCAGAGTTAGGTCATAACAAAGAATCTAAGGAATTAAAGAAAAAATCGTAAATAGAAAAAATAAACTCACGGGTATACAGTATGAATAATTTATTATAACATCTAGGAGCTGGTCAATATTACAAGAACTACTATTCACATAAACGTCAGGACGGCACTCCCACTGAACATCCGTTGGCTGGATGAGACAAGGCGCTGTTGAGTATTGATCAAATTATTATACTAGTGCGTAGCTGGTATCATCAGTCAGCTTTTAAAAGCTTGTATATCATTTAATCCGTCATGTTTAATTAAGTTTTTTCTTCAAATTTACAGCGACGTTCACCAGGTTATCTTACACCTCACTCTGCACTCTCAGTCTTCGGGGATAACTCAACTATCCAAATCGATTTCTTTTTAATTTAATAAAAGACATGGTGTATAGTGTTGAAAACAAAAACTGAAGTAATTGATTGTCTTATACATAATCATGAAATTTAACTATTCTGCAATCGGTTTATTTATATATAAAATCTAAACTAATATTCCTGCCAATTTATTGTGGGAAAAACGCTCTTTCAAAAAACACTAAAATCTTTAAAAGAAAGTGAAAGATAAGGCAGCGCATTGAGCAGTTCGGAATTTATAAGAGAACTTGAAGAACCAACACATTGTTCTAGTACAGCCAGAATGAAAAACCTGGCAATTCTAGATAACCAAGAACCTGGCAATTCTAGATAACCAAGAACCTGGCAGTTCTAGATCACCAAGAACCTATTATTCCCGACCATGCAGGAATTTCTAGCATCTTGGTTTATGAAGTTTGTTGAAGGTTCAGGCGTTAGTTGGACAATCGCTCTCTGCTCCGTCGTCTTTTTCTGTTGATGAAATGAAGGCCAAAAGCCACGTTAAAAAAACGTGTTTAAGCATTAAATAATTTTAGTGTTCGAAGAACCATTATTGCCGAGAATAAATTTATCAGAGAGTTAAAGTTAAGGCACTTTAGAACGCAGTTGAAGTTGTTTCAGTATGAATTTGCGGCAGTATATTGAAAAGGGTATTAATTGGAATTTTCGGCTTGTTATTATTCGTTATATAATTGATTTTTTAAATGAAAAGCGTCAGCAAGTTTTAGTTTCAGTAATTTTAATGTGCAATTTAAATATATGTATAGAAATGCACAGTCGGCGGACGTACAGTCGTACGAAATCGTGAAAAGAATAATTCCAGTACTAAATCCGGTAATGGTATCATCGTTATTCAACTAATTTTGAAAAGAAAAGAATTAAAGTTGCGATAAAGTTCTAAGTGTATTGTTGTTTCCTCATAAAATACATCCCAAGTTTTGAAAAATCTTAAAATGAAGAAAAAATAATGTTCAGAGTGTCGAGAAAAAATGGGAGCTTCGAGGATCGTGTAGTCGAGAAGTGCTTAGGTATAGTTGAAAATCTTAGAGATTTGATAAAAATCTGATTTCAGAAGAAAAAGTTTGAAGATATGTGCACCGAAAATTATGAAAAACCAAACGTAAAACCATTTACATGAAAAATCGTAAAAACAAATATCGAGGAGGCAAGACTTGTGCCGTACACCCACGGGGTCAGGATGTCGACAACCGGCCCATAGTAGGTAGAGGGTGAATATTTAAATGGAAGCGAAAATTGTACCCGGAAAAATTAATGTTTCATATTATTAAAATGTGACACACGTTTTGCCAGTGGCACTGATACCCCCTTTCGCCGGGCCAAACAGGGGTTGGGTGACTCACAAGCCCGAAAAGTGCATAACAATTTGGATCAAATCTCGTTCATTTTTCTCGGTGTAAAAATTGAAAAATTGACGTTTCTTAACAAACGGAATCGTGAAACATGACAAAATTGATCAAATTCAATCACATAGGAACGTTTTCTGAAAAAATGTGAATAACGTGAAAGTGGGGTAAGTGCAAAGACATGAAACGACGGAGGAAGTGATAACGGATGTGAATTCACTCAAGTGATGAAACTCGGTGTTGCAAAAAAAAAGTTGCAGTACATAGCAGCTACCTTAAGAGTGTCACTGTCTCACAGTAGTTCTAGTTACTAGTTTGGTAACTAGTTAGAGGTATGCTGTCTCCCTTATGGATGGTTCACTATCTTGGTCGCTCTCTGAATCAAGCTCTAGATAAAAAAATATTCATTGGATTATTTATGAGTAATATTCAACACAAAGAAAATTTCACTGTAGCTGTGAATAATCTTCTTTATGAGATGATTGCATCATATTCAGCCGATGTCAAGAAAATTATCGATGCAAGTTTATATTTATAATTGGAATAAGTCGGAGGAGCCAAAACTTTCACGGTCCAGAACAATATGATGACCTCAAACTTATCAGTCATTCTCGTAAATAATAATTTTCTCACGTCCTTCAATTTTGCGCTATATAAAAGCGTCAAGACTTCGTCGCTCCTAAGCATCAATGCAATTTATTTTCTTGGTACAGTTAAATTAATAATTACATTGATTTTTGTTAAGTTTACTATATTATTAACTCTTACTTATGATGCCCGTTAAAGAAAAATGCGAGTGAACTCGTATAGTGGTGAACAATTTTCCGTAAAAATTAATGGAAACTTTGCAGATTTTGAAGAAAATAAAAATACTTTTAAAAAATGTTTCTAAGTCTAGTGAGAATGTGAATTGAATAAACACTGAACTCCTGAATCGAACTATTCTTGATTGAATACGATGTAGTAACTTCACTAAAAAATTACTGTTATTAATGCAGGTTGGACTAAACCGGCGTTGGATTGTAGATAACGTCAAGATCTGTTGGATATTTTGTCTGTTATTCTATTTTCTTTGTCGAGACGATTGTTCATTCGTCTTCACCTTTTTTGCCCTGGTAAGCGTGCTTCCTGAGCCTGTCGTAAATATCTTCCTTGTTGCCGTAGATGGAGGCGTTAGAACGCGCCAGGCTGTTGCTGGCGCCATTCGCGTATCCCGCTAGTAAAAAATACCAAATTATGTAAAAAATATTTAATTAGTAGAAAATGTTTAATTAGTAGGAAATGTTTATTTAGTAAAACATGTTTAATTAATAAATAAAATGTGAAATTCCTCATAGGGAATTATGGACATCAAACCGATCAGAAAAGACGTTATATTTTGCTTCTTCAGTTGAGTTACCGCCAAATAAATGAAAGAAGCATTGTCTGAGAGACAACCAAGAAATGCAATTTATTTCATCATTCTCGTAAAGTAAAGCTGAAAACAGTTTTTATAAATGCATAGCTCGGGAGTCATGTTATAATATTATAAATTTAATTCCACAATCTTAACTAATACGAGTTTCGTAGTGTCACTAATAATTAGAAACATGCGATTACGTAACCCATTCATTGAGATTTATTCCTTACGTTTCAAGCACATTTCACTTAAGTTTCATGAACATTTCTTTACTGTTTCATGAATGTTTCTCTTATGTTTCATGGACGTTTCATGAACGTTTCGCTTACGTGTCATGCACGTTTCAGATGCGAGGGCGCTATGCTCTCTGCGTACGGTGCTGGTGCTCCGTAGTAGAAGTTGACCTGAGTAGTAATGTTGTAAAGTTAACCTGGGTAGCAACGTAGTAAAGTTAACCTGAGTAGTAATGTAGTAAAGTTAACCTGAAAAGTAACGTAGTAAAGTTAACCTGTATAGTAATGTAGTAAAGTTAACCTGAGGAGCAACGTAGTAAAGTTTACCTGAGTAGTAACGTAAAAAAGTTAACCTGAGCAGTAATGTAGTAGAAGTTAACCTGAGTAGAAACGTAATAAAGTTAACCTGAGTAGTAATGTAGTAATGTTAACCTGAGTAGTAATGTAGTAAAGTTAACCTGATTAGTAATGTAGTCAAGTTAACCTGAGTAGTACGGTAACGTAGTAAAGTTGAACGTATCAAATCTAATTAGGTAATAACGTAGTAAAGTTAACCTGAGTAGTATCGTAGTAAAGTTAACCCGAGTATCGAAAATTTAACTGCTAAGAAAACGACAAGTAATTTCATCGCAGCTTCAATGAAAATCTTTCGGAGAGCAACTCCATCATCAGTTCATAACATTCTACAGAATTAAATTACAATTAGAAATTAAAATGAAAAATGCACGAAAGCGAGAAACGTAACGAGAAAAGTCAGCAATACAAAGAACTATCTATTTACAATTTGAAGAGGATAAGAACTGTACGCGTTTTTAGGACAATGTTTACGTTTAAAATAAATGACCAGACTAGAAACTTATAAGTTAAGCTGACGTACGCAGAGTTCACTTACCCTCAATCGTACGAGACTCGTTGAAAAACCGATAATTCAGATTACTACTCAAACGAATGAGCAGAACTACAACTTGCTTCTTCTTTTCTTCGATGAAAATAGTGGAAATAACGAAATATCTTTCAAGTTATAAGCTTTTCACTACCACTCAAAGACTGCATTCCACAAATGATTAAAACTTATGAAATTATTTAAATTGTTAGGAAATACTATGCAAATTGTACTCCACGAATCATTAATAAATACGAGATGAAAGTGAACAAATGTGAAAAATTGATGACATCAAAGCAAGAAAATTTGCCGAGGAACCATTGATGCAATCTATGAATATATCCTTATGTATACCAGGCAGAAATAGAAACATTCATGAAAGGTGTGATTTAATGATTCATCTGTTAGGCTGAAAACCACAAAAACCCGTATAGGCATCACATGCATGCAATCGTTAGGAATAATGAAAATGATTCAAGAAAGAAAAATGCGGGCATGTGTTTGTATAAGAAGAAATTTGAAGGCGGAATCGACTTACGTTGACAAGATTCCGACATTTGAAGCGTGAGGGAAGATGTTATGTATGCTGCAGCCGTTCGAACATAATGAATAAAAGTAAAACGAGAAGTTTTATAAAAAAGGTTTATTTCAGCGATTAACTGCTTTAGGAATTTAAAATATATTGTGCATTAGGTGTGAGATTTAGTTCAGTGCCACAGTTTTGTATTATTAAATATGGCCTTAAAAGTGCTAAAAATTCTCATTTCAACGTGAGACTTCGGTTTAAAATATGTTCTTTTGGTGACCGGATAATTAAAATTTAGCATTAGAATTTCATTTTGATAATATTCGAGTATATAAAAAGTATGATTTAAATACATAGCTCGAGTTTTAAAACTTCTGTATGCGTTGGGCATGGAGCAGCAGAAAAATTCATTGTAAAACATGACATACATGAAGTCATACCCCTATATAGCATCACATCTAAATTTATTAGGCTTCCAATTCAATTCACTATAGATCGTATGCCTCGACTACTTCGATGCTTGATCTCGAAGGTTTGTTTGTGAGTTGAGACTCAGGTTTAGGTTCGTCTCTGTTCGGTGGATTGCTTTGCTCGGTGATGCTGGAGACGAAGTTGTAAGCGACTAACTTAACGGAGCCATCGTCTGGGGAAGAAATCTGGGTGGGAACGCTGGCTCCCCGACTGGAATTTTTATTCATTTTCTGGGACACACTCAGAGGAGGCTTGGCATTTTTACGAGGAGGTTTTGCGACTTGTTGAGGAATTTCGCCCGTGCTTCCAAGCGTGCTAGAAAAGCTTGTGATATTCCCAACAATGGTTGATTGATCTGACGAGCTTTCGATCATGTCGAAGCTGTTGTCGATAGTTTGGGACAAGTCGCTCTGAGTATCACACAGTCCGTCGGAAAGGCTGTATTCACTTCCTCGGTTATTTGTTCTTCTCTGTCCAGTTCGATCGTTTGAGGCTGTTATTAAATAATCGAAGCGCTGACCTCGTTGATAGGATCTAATTGCTGCGGGATCACCAACATTCGAGCCTCCAGCCATATGCGGTGGCGGGAGGAACGGACTTAGTGGAGTTGGAGGCGTTAGCGGAGGGGAGTTTGGCAGGCGCTGGAAATGTTTACCGTGGCGAAGTGGGATTTGTTGTATCGGTAATACAGGCAAAGATCCTGGAGGAAATCTTTGTCTTGAAATATTAGGGTTTTCTTGTAGCCGACGATTATGCAGACCATGGCCGCTGAACAGGGATTCCTAGGCAAAATGATTTATTAAAAAATCAATCATCAGAAGAAGAACCAGCGGTGCACCGCTTGGATGACCAGAATGGTGAGTTTATATTTAACAATGAAAATTTGATATCGCATATAGAAGAAGAACCATATCATTGGAAGAAAACACCAATAGCAGAAAATTTATGTGTCATGAACAGAGAAGTAACCGATGAACCGGATTAATATTTCAATTAATATTTCACAACGTGCAATACAGAAGCGAAAGAGAGCAGAAAAGCAGACGACACGTGAACAAAAAAGGAGAAAATTTAGCTTTGACTGTCACAGCTGGGAGAAAGTTTTAATAGGGGAAATAAGGTGATGAACAAAACCGATGTCACCACCATAACCACCATGACCGACGTAGCAATAGCCGCAGACGCAGCAAAAAAGACCAGCGTAATAATATTGAAAGACTAACATTAATGACCGATTTACCCATAAAGACCAACGTAACAATATTGAAAGACTAACATTAATGACCGATGGAACCATAACGACCAACGTAACAATAATGAAAGGCTAACATTAATGGCCGATGGAACCTTAACGACCAATGTAACAATAATGAAAGACTGTCAATAATGACCGATGGAACCATAACGACCAACGTAACAATAATAACAGCCTTATCGTACCTGAGATCCCGCAGGATCCAGAGTGGCGGCAGGAGGCAGGAGTTTCTTAGGATCCTGCTTCCTTGTGGACCTCAGGCAGATCATCCATACGAGCAGCACGAGGATGATGAGGAACACCACGGCACCCGCCACGCCCCCAGCGATGTAAGCGAACAAACTCTTGTGCTGGATTAATAAAACTTTATTATTTTACATTTGTTTGTAGGTACAAATATTATCAATCAATTGATATTAATGAAACACTAATCTAGGTTGATAAATTACTTCTTTAGACCGTGAACATATTCTAAACATTGCTCCGGTTTACAATAAACTCTTGTGCAGGGCACCAAAATATTATTAATTGGTAATAATGAACCATCTGATCAAGGTTGAAACGCATCAGAGCATATTTTCTGCGGCAAAGGAAAAAAAGGATTCATATCTTCAAACATAGTCTAAAGTTTAGACTATGTTTGAATGTAGAGTTTAATTAAACAGGAATGTTTATTTAGACTCTAAGCATTCCTTAGATTTGCAATGAGCTCTAGTGATCGGGCACTTCAATATTATTTAATTTTAACTTTTGTTAGACTGCACAATTTTGAAACGTTATAATGGTACAGAATGTACTTACAATTGTACGAGTACTGAAATTCGACGAAGGTTAAGGAAATAATTAATCACGGTTGAAAAGACTCGGAAAATAATGGCCAATTGCGAGCAAAAATGATTTGTTGAGACCGTGTCGAACAGGTGCTAAATATTATTTGTTTATGCAATCAACTGTTGTGTTTGGCCACCAATGAAGTACTGGTTAATTTGTTACTAAGATACCTAATTTTAAGTACAAATGGTATATCCAACTTCAAATACAAATAGTAAAGCTAACTATAAATACAAATAATATACCTAACTTTAAATACAAATTATATAAAACAAGTGTTTGATTCTCATTAGGTGACGTGGTGTTGACAAATCATTTCGGAGTTTGAATTATATTCGAAACGTTAGCTAGGAATGGGGACTAGCGCCTTAACTAATTTTATAAGAAAAACAAACTAACAGAGAATAACCAGATCAATTCAATATGTACAGTCCACGTGCAATTGTCTTTCACATTCGTTGATTCGAGATGAGCTTTAATGAAAAAAGTGAGCGAGTTTCGAAAGACATTAATAAACGTTAACCATATGATTCATATTAATTAATACATTAATACAGTCACCTGGCATTGTTTTCCCGTGAAGGAGCCGACGCACTCGCAGTAAGGCAGCCCGCGGTCCGTCTTGCGGCACACGCCGTCGTGTAGGCAGTAGTCTTTGCATGTGTCTGTTGGTGCCATGTTAGTTTTGCATTATTTACAATTGCTGACACTTAAATTAACGGTTTTGTTCGAGACTGATTGATATTATTCGAGGATTTTGTCGGTTTGTCATAGATTTAAACAAAATAGTTTAGGGAGGCTAAAATTTTTACCAATTTTAAAGATGAAAAAATTTCGATGGATTTTTTACTATTTACTGATAATCATTAGCTCTGTAAAAATATCCAGATACAGCGTTTTTGCGAAAATATAGTGGTATGAGCATTATTTGCGTAGCTGTAGCAATTAAAGCTTACCTAGACACTCTCCGGACTCAGTTTTGTTGAAGCCGTCTTTGCACTCGCAGATGTAGTCGTCCTGTTCGGCGAGGTAGAGGCAGTCAGCGTTGGCGTCACACAAGACCTGTTCGCCATGCACCTGGCAGGGGTTGGTGCACTCTTCGGGCGAAGTGGACCCAGTACCTTTAGTGGAGGTACTTTCCGTACACTTTATGCACGATGTCTGCATGGCTTCAGGTTGGAACGTACCCCGAGGGCACGGAATGCACTTGTAGATGTTGTCGGTCTCGGACAAGAAGGTGCCAGCAAGGCAGATGGGTAGAGCACACTCTTCAGGCGACGACGCCCCAGGGTTGTTGGTGGTTCGGTCTTGCGGGCACTGTATGCACGCAGCATGAACGCCTTTGGTACGGAAGGTTCCTCTTGGGCAAACCTCGCATCCTCCTCCAACACTCAGCTGCAAACCAGACTCGCATTCCTCCCGACACTCATCAGCAGACACAGCTTCCTTCGTGCCGGTGGTAAGACCTCGGTCGCATCTCTGGCACATGAAACTTCCTTCGTCAGGCTGGTAGAAGCCGTAGCCACAAGGGCGACACAAGCCGCTCTTTTCGTCATAATATCTGCCGGCCGAACATCTCTCGTGGCACTGATCCAAGCTTCGTGATCCTCTCGATCTCGTTACTCCTTGTCTGCCGTTCACCTCTGGGCAAGGTTTGCAGGCCACTTGACCGACTTCGTTGGAGAAAGATCCTGCTTCACACATCTCACATTTTTCTGTTACTCGATCGTAGAAAGTGCCTGGAGCGCAGTCCACGCAGTCACTTCCCACCACAACCTGCGGTGAAATAGTGCAAAGTTGGATGAATTCTTCGTGAAATGATCACGATCGAACACAGGCATGCTAAACTAATGGTGATGCCAAATAACTGCTCATTACTCATGATAGCATGCGTGCCATATATTAGCAGGGCTTTCAGAAAAAAGCAACAAAATTTGAATGCACCAATCAATTTCAATGTCCATTAAGAGTTATTTTTCTATCCTTCCAGTTAGTTAATAACCGAGGCGAGGCTGGCTTCTTACATTTTTTTCAAACAACCAAAATATATTTTCGGCATTTTTATACCCCACTTTGCTCTTAAATCTTACATATATGCATTTTTACCTAGTATCACAATTCAGGCATGCATGTACACATTTAATAAACTTAAAGTCATAAAGTTTATAGAAATTTAGCTTTTTCACCTTGCCGATGGGGCATGAGTACTCGGAGAGGAGACTGAGAGACGCAGGATCAGGCACGACGTTGGGCAGAGCGTCGCGGACGTCGAACTGGTCGTCCTCGAGGATGATGCTTTGGATGAGCTGCAACACCGACGACTGGGCGTTCGTGTTGCTGTTCAGAACTGGGTCACTGTGAGCGAAAAAGTATTATTCAAAAGGATGAAAGCTTGCAAACACGACTTAATTTTGGATAAATGAACACAGAAAGAATGGTAATTTAATTCCCTATATTTTTAAGAAGTCTTTTTAAATATTTTTCAACCGCTAGGCGTGCTGGCTGAGAGGTACGTGCACTAAAAATTGAGCTGCTAGTTGGTGGTTTGAGCGGCAGTTATCTGTGAAAAATTTTAGTCGAAAGAGATGAGAAGGCCGAATGGTTAAAAACATTAATATTAGAGCAGTGAGTGGCAGATTCGAGACCGCGTTATCCGTGAAAATTTAGCGATGTGAAAACTCGGCGACAGATCAAACACGGCCTTACCTTTCATTTCAGAATAATAATTCCCTGAAATATAAAGTAAAAATTTTTGTACTAGCTTCAAGAAAGACAATATCTAGCGAAGGTAAAGAACACGAAGAAGTACGCCTAACTCAGCATCAGTTGCTAAAAAGGCGGCTGATCAATGTTGCCCTCAAAATAAATAGCTGCTCTGTAATTTAGAATAGAGTTAGGTGGATAGGATAGAGTTAGAAATTCAAGTAATAAAAATAAAATGGTTTAAAAATTTATCAGAAAAACTCAGGTAAATCTCCTCGATGGTTTAAAAATTTAGCAGAAAAACTAAGGTAAATCTCCTCGAAAAACCGTACCAAATATGAACTAAGAATTTAAACCGAGTGAAGGTTATGGAAAAATAAGATAAAACTGGCAAAAGTTATAGAATAGGGAAGAATCTTTGATAAAAGGAGGAGAAACTATTAAAAGGTTAGAGGCATGAAGTTTATGGGAAGGAAATCAAGATGCTGCAATTATTAAGTTAGCGAGAAACTACATTGATCTGAATAACCGGTTCATGCACAGATGCTTCTTCCTTGCCCCAACCTGTGCAGATGCTCGATGACATCTAACACCATATAATGAAAAGTTCATGGAAAATAGTGAAGAGATTTGACGTCGCATTTATGTAGTTTTCTTGGGTATCTATGAGACGACGTTTTGCTGGTATTTGATGATATGAAATATATTAGGAATTTAATTATTTGAAAGGCGATTTAAAAGGCGATGATAAACAAGGGGCTAATTTTGTTGTGACTGCGACAAATGCAGGATTGCAAAGCGTAAAAACAATGATGAAGAAACAGGCAATGACTTGTGGTAAAAATGCTATTCTAATGATTGCCAGGCAGTATCTAAGACGCTGGGGGCTACGGCCAAGCTTCTCTCCGAGCGATAAAGCAAAAGCAAGTGCGATGTTGTAAAAACGCTTACTTTTTGGCCTGAAAAGACACAGTGACGTTGTACTGGTGCTCTGCCTCAGAGTTTCGCTTCACGCGGTCGCTACAGGACATCAGACAATGATTAAATTGCTTTTCGTTCAGTAGTGAATAACTCAGAAAGAGGTCTGACGATTAAAGGATAACCAAATAAAGTTGTGCCTTTTCCGAAAAAAGAGTGTGAATAAATAAGTCATTGCTAATAGAAAGAAAGACGGCCAAAAAGTACTGGCTCTAATGTTATATAACTTATGCACTAGAATTATTTTTTTTAAATAAAGTCCTCTAGAAAATTGATAAAGATTTTCAGCTACATGGTAAGCGCCAAATATGAAAAAGAAAGCAAATGATAATAGGAAAGTGAACGGAAGTTTGTATAAATAAAATATAGAGTAAGAAGAATTTCCATGAGAATTCTTGTGTTGCTATGATAATTGGATAATCAGATGATTAACTGAAGAAATTTCAAATTAGAATCTCACAGTAAGACATATATTAGTCATCAGTGACGTTGGCGCGTGTATTGCGTGTTCACACAAACAATATTTTCAGTAATGAATATTAACATAATAAATAGTCTTCAGATGACTTTGAAGTAGCCATCAGTTGCTTCTCGCCGTTTAGACGTTTTAACTTGAGGTAATATGGCATTAATCTCTCATTAATTAGTCACAGTGACTCGAAACTTTACAGAATATGTTCGTTCATATTTAGGAGAGATGGAGATTAATTTAATATTACACAGGAGATTAATTCGACTTACAACTCAACCCACAAGGCTCTGCTAGAACAGACCCTCGACTTGGTTATTTGCGACGGCAACTAAAATCGGCAGGGTAGGCGATGACTTATGTATGCCAGCTCCATAGGTGATAATAATGTGAATAAATCACCTCACGATAATAATATTTGAACTCACTTGGTGGCAGGATAGTTGATGTCGTCGCATTTATGATAATAATACCATAATAGGGTAGGTGAAGATAATAATAATTGGTAATAGGTGGGTGATAATATTAGGAAAAAATCACACAATAATTACAATCGAAACTCACTTGGTGGCAGGGAAGGTGATATTGTCGCATTTACGATAGCTTCGTAGGTGATAATCATATGAATAAATCACCTCACAATGATTACAAACGAAACTCACTTGGTGGCCGGGAAGGTGATTACGACGTCATAAGCATCCTCGGCGTCAGGCTTGCTGGCGTCAGCAGACGTAGCTTGTCGTCTCGTCCTGACGTTGCGTTGAGCGACGACGTCGCGTTTGTTGATGCGATTGCGACGTGCGCAGTCGACGCCCACGTCCAGGCCCTTGCAGTTGCCCGTCGACGAGTCCGTTTCGGTGCATAAATTCCACTCGCGGTTCAGTTTCATGAGAGCCTATGGAGATGAAACAGTAATTAGGTCCGATCTACAATTATATCTGGGCACAATATTGTGGTCAAATGGGCATCTTGATCCACACTGATCTCTTTGCGGGACTAAATTACTACTAATTCGACGAGCCAATTACTCTCTAACCAATCTAATTCTCTTTTAACGAACTAACAACTTCAAGTCTCTAATGGTTAACTATGCACTCTAATACTCTAGTTAGTAACTAACCACTCCAATCCTCTAATAAGTGACTAACCACTCCTCTAATCCTCTAATAAGTAACTATCCGCTCTAATCCTCTAATAAGTAAGTAACCACTCGAATCCTTCAATAAGTAACTAACCACTCTAATGCTCTAATAAGCAACTAACCACTCTAATAAGTAACTAACCACTCTAATGAGTAACTAACCACTCTAATAAGTAACCAACCACTTTAATAAGTAACTAACCACTCTAATAAGTAACTAACCACTAAACTAACCACTCTAATTCTCTCGGACAGAACGTTCTGTCCTGCGGCGTTGCAGATGACGGACGAAGGGAACTGCATGTTGATCTTGAAGACCCGCTGCGCCGGTGAGGCCTGCGAGCACGCGGGGTACACCAGCGGGATGCTGGGGTCTGTGGTGGGGCGCCAGAAGCCCTCAGCCCCACATGTGTAGAAGTCGGGAACCTGCGAGTAGAAGGTAGAAAATGTGGTTAATGACATGATTTAACTGGAGTGAAGCGGCGAGTAGGCGTAGAAAATGTGGTTAATGACAAAATTTAACTCGAGTGAAGCGGCGAGCAGGCGCAGAAAATGTGGTTAATGACATAATTTAACTCGAGTGAAGCGGCGAGCAGGCGCAGAAAATGTGGTTAGTGACATAATTTAACTGGAGTGAAGCGGCGAGCAGGCGCAGAAAATGTGGTTAATGACATAATTTAACATGAGTGCAGCGGCGAGTAAGCGTAGAAAATGAGGGTAATGACATAATTCAACTTGAGTGCAGGTGCGAATAGGCGTAGAAAATGTGATTAATGACATGATTTAACTAGAGTGCAGCGGCGAGTAAGCGTAGAAATTAGAGTCAATGGAGTTTCATTCAACTTGAGTATAGCATTTGCAGGAATGACTTCAAAAACGAATTGTCCATTAGTTGACATTTCATACGTTAGTATTGAATAGATAAATTTATTCAAAATAAATTCTCTGTTTTATGCAATATTAAATGAATGGAAGCAAATAAGCTAAATAATGACCTGAGTAGAGAACTTGAGTCCCGGGTTGCACTCAATCGAGCAGACTTTGAAGCGACCGCCAGGACCCCAGTTTGAGCAGCGCTGGGTTCCCCCCACAGGATCGGCCAAGTCCTCACAGAAATCCTCGAGGACGTAGACGTTGAAGGAGCAAGTGGCAGAGTTGCCTGCTGCGTCGTACGCTACCGTCGCGATGTGGTACGTCCCCAGGGCGAAGGCCTGTACGTAATGAAGGCACGGTGTACTGTGGCGTACTATGAATGCATGGTGTACTATGGAACACTCTGAAGCCATGAAAAAAGTCGTCTGATTAAAAAATGAAGGATCTTATGAGTCTTTTGCGAATATAGTGAGCTTCTGAAGCATAGCTTGCAGTATAGATCAAATAATTGAATATTCTATCAGTGAATTAATAATCCTCTATAACAGTGGTTCCCAAACTTTTTCAGGCTGGCGCCCCCTTTGGCTCCCTAGTGAATTTCTATCGCCCCCCACAGACACATATAAAAACATACGCCTCTTTCTTGAAATTTAGTACGCTGCAATTTTAGAGAAGATAAAGGTTAAACAAAAATGTGTCTTTTACAAATAGAACCCCATTTAGTGAACCAATATGTTTTAAGCTGTTTTAACTGTTTGAGCACTAGAAACCTAGGACATCTTGGGCAAATTTACTGCCGGACTCGTGGCCGGTCGCACGATCAATCTCCAAATTCAATTATCGAGTAATATCTCCCAAACTAATGAACGCAGCTCAATTGAACTTGGAACATGTATTCATCAGAAACTAACAGTGATTTTTAGCTTGTAAAAATTTTTGAATTTCACCTTCATTCGTGAGTTATATTGCGATAAAGGCCAAAATTCGCAGTGATCAAATAATTTGAACGAAAATTTGAAATTGAACGAAATTTTGAATATACATACCTAACTACCAAACGGTGATTTTTTAGCTTCAAAAAATTTTCGATTTTACCTTCGTTTGCAAGTTTTTTTTTTTCATTTTACCATCATTCTTGATTTCACACTTCCTTATATTCGGTCTGTATCGCCGGATAATTTGTCGCTTAAATTCGCGGCCATCAAGAAATTTCTTCCAAACTACTCAATAGATTTCAACGAAACTTTGAATATAAATACCTAACCTCCCAACGGTGATGTTTAGCGTGTGACAATTTTTCTATTTTGCTTTCGTTTGCGAGTTATACAGATATAGGAGGAACAACCGGCTTTTCTACAGGCCAGTTTAACTAAGCTAGAGCCGTTTATGAATATCCGTATACTTATAGCCGTATAACTCGCAAACGAAGGCAAAACGAAAAAAATGTAGCGAGCTAAACATCACCGTTGCTGAGGTTAGGTATTTCAATACTAAGTTTCGTTCAAATCTATTCAGCAGTTTTGGAGGAAATTTCTCGATTACTGCGAATTTAAGCACGTATTGCTGTTTAAATCACGTATGAAGGTGAAATGAAAAAAAACTTGCGAACAAAGAAAATAAAATAAAATAAATAAATTAAAACAATAAAATAAATTTTCACGAGCTAAACATTACCGTTCAGTAGTTAGGACTGAAAATTCAAAATTTCGTTCAAATCTGTTCAATAGTTGGAAGAAATTCCTAGTTCACTGTGAATTTCGGCCCGTATTGCCATATAACTATGGCAAAAACAAATGAAGGCATAATTTAAAAAAATTTCACGAACTAAGCATTACCGTTAGGTCCAAATGAATATGTGTACCAAGTTTCAACGAGTTAAGTTCATTAGTTTGAGAGATATTCCTTGATCATTGAATTGATCTGGCCGTTAATTTGTCCGAGACATAAACGCAGGACAGGTTAAAAAACAGATCTGGGTGAAAAAAACCATCGCTGGGAGTCACGATGTGCTGCACGTGTTGTGTACAAATTGTCAAACAAACGTTGAAACTTCTGACTTTAACTTCGGTCTGTCGCCCCCCTTATCGCCCCCCAAACGCCCTCTTTTTTCCGTACCGCCCCCCAAAATCTTTCCACCGCCCCTAGGGGGGCGATATCGCCCACTTTGGGAACCACTGCTCTATAAGATACGTCAACTATGAAAAAACCTTAGCAGAAAATATAACGAGTTTATTAAAATGAGTTTGAAAAATGTGCAATTAAAATTTTCAAACTCAATTTGAAAGATGAACTCACTTGTCCAGGGAAATATCCCGATTTTTCGATGGTTTTTTCAATGCCGATGTTGTCGGTGAATCTGGGCCGGTCCCAGTTGACCACCGCCGAACCATTCTTGGTGATGACCCAGATGTGTCCAGGGCAATGGTCAACCCTTGGTGGAGTCTTGTCCCTTTGTAGGACAGTGCAATCCCCAGTATATCCAAGAGGGCAGACATGTTGTCCACAGTTAGAGGGTCCAACCCTCTCGACGTTGCCCTCGACTCTGTCGTATCCTGCCCATCGCAGGAGGAGTCCTTCGAACATCACCGGTGACTTCATGCACGAACGAGCCTGAACAAAGAGATGATGTTGATATAATTTGTTAGTTATAGTCATTGATTAGTAATATTACTTGTCAATTTTAATAAAATATTATGCATTAAGTCGTAATAAACGCTGCACTTTTATAATTATAAATGCTCATTCATTCTGTTTTCAATATAATAAATTTATACTATTAACTGTTTTCTCTTGCAAATCAGAATCAATCAACTTCTAATTTAACCCTTTCTCTAGTAATTAAACTTTCATTGTA